GGGGGGGGGGGTGCAGAAAAATGTTTCTAAATTCAGCTTTACACAATAGCAATAATTGTCTTATTTAAAACAGTATTTCTTGCTTGAGTTTGTGCATATGTATGAGAAATCGATTCTGTATACAAGTTAGAAGGCAAAAAGAAAATGCAAATAAATACTGGGTGGTGAGAAATCCAATTACACAGAACACTAGGAAATCAAACACAGCCATCTAAGTGGAAGGTTCTAGAATACCTGTGCCTTCCCATATCTCGCCCGTGGACTCTGAGGATATTTGCGAATTAATTCTTCAAATGCTGTCACTGCTTCTTCAATTTTTCCCTGTGAGGAAGAGGTAATAACAGAAATACAATAAATTCAAATGCATAATGCTACTCAATACAGTTATTAAATATTCAATAAGTAATTCTGTCAAAATTTCCTGGACACCATTCTGAGTTTAAAGACAGTTTTATCTAAGATTTTAAAAAATTAACTGTATTATGGAAACATAAAAATAGAAATGCACATAAATATACTTTATCTTTTAAAAGACAGGAGTCTGACAAATGATGTAATAGTCTTCGTTAAAGAAATTGCATATTCCCTCTATATGTATAATTCCCACATGCATTCTTAAAGAAATACTTAGGTGTTACGTTGGGGAAGAATATTGCTGGCAGCTAGAATGTCTTGGTCTGCGATGAAGTCTGAAGCACCTGTGAAAACGGTGGGGCACAAGCATGCAAGGGCCACGTGGCCGTGGTTCCTGTCACCCACTGACATCAGGGTTGATTTGGCTCCTCTGGTTGCCTGGAGGGCCTCGCTGCCTCAGTGTCATGGGACCCCTCCCAGAGCTCACGTGGGCTCTTAAGAAGATGGGCCATGCACCTTCGATAGATCTCTGACCACCACTGCACAGTAAGAAATGCAGGATATGCAACAGGTACACAGGTGAGGTCTTCGCAGGGGGCTGAGGCGACCTGACTGCATCAGCACCATTCCACAGCCCATTCTGCCTGTGTCCTGGTGCCTAACACATGGCAGCAGGTCAAGGGTATTTGGAGCCGTGGGGCAGAGACAGATTTTCTGAGTTGAACTTTCCCAGGCCCTCAGCTCCCTATAAATTGGTAAATCCACTTAGCGCATGCTCACTGCTATTTCTGTGTTTTGTCCCTCACCGAGTTTTCATACAACAAAGCTGACCTACAGTGTGGCTGTGCAAAGCAAACTGTACGGTCTACCAATTGTTACTTACACTTATTTCCCAAGGACAACCTGACCGTTAACGTTCTTTACAATCATTCCTTTACCTAGATATCATGGAAGGAGGTTTTCTGCACCCTCTCACAGGCCGTCAGGTGCTGAGGGCAGGTGAAAAACAGATGCACAGCGTAGTGGTTCTGAGAGCAGGCCCCGGAGCCAGGCTGACTGGGGAGAGTCTGCGCCCCACCACTTAGAAGGTGTGTGACCTGTGACAAGTAACTGATGACTTTGCCTTAGGTGCCTGGCCTGTCAAATGGGTATCATGAGGGCCCTTGACTACCTTGTGACTACCTATAAAGTCAAATCCCAAAACATACATAAAGTGTTTGTAGACACTACAGAGAGCATAGAAAGCATTGAACAATGTTACCTATTATTGTTGTTGCTGCTATTATTATTATATTACCGTGGTGTGTGGGGGACGTGTGTGCCAGCACAAGATAATGGGGCTCATCCCATATAAGTCTCTTACCAGGCAGACAGGGAGGTTAAGACAAAGTAAGTGAAGACTTGGATGTAAGGCCAGGAACACATTCTCTAAGTTACATTTATTTTCAGAAATAAATTGTATCACTATTTAAAATATGCTATCCCTCTCACAATATTAAATTTTTTTTTCCTGAGCAGTAGATTCACAGCAAAACTGAGAAAAGCATCTAGACATTTCACATATGTCCCCTACCCCAACAGAAGCCCAGGCTCCCCATAATCAACACCCTGCACCAGAGCAGAACATTCGTTACAACCAATGAGCCTACACTGACGCATCGTAATCACCCGAAGTTCACGATTTACCTTAGGGTTCACTCTTGTATATTCTATGGGTTTAGATAAAAAGATAAATGCACACTGTCTGTATTCACCATTATAGTATAATGCAGAGTAGTTTCACTGCCCTAAAGTTTTCCTGTGCTTTGCCTGTTCATCCCTCTACTGTCTCCATAGTTTTCCTTTTTCCAGAATGTCATACAATTGAAATCATAGAGTAGGCAGCCTTTTCAGATTAGCTTCTTTCACTTAATAATACACATTTAAGGTTCCTCCATGCCTTTTCATGGCTTGATATCATGTTGTTGTTGTTGTTTTAGTGCTGAATATTTCACTGTCTCGATGTCACACACAGTTTCATCAGCTTGTTTCCTACCTATAGAATTTTGGGAGTCTGTTGGCCTTCTTTCAGTTTGTCCTATCTCTTTCAGTCCAAGGTGGCAGTACTTCTTCTGGTATAATATTCTCAAAAATCTTATGGTTCTCCTGTGTATGTCACAGGAATTCACACCGTTAGATAAGAGTCACAGACCCTCCCGGGATAATCCCATTTCTATTTTTGGCTTCTGCTGAGAGGGTTGACTGAGTCACACACCTAATCTCTTTAGTTTCCAATGGCTGTTGTTACAAATGATCACAAACTTGGTGGCTTAAAACAACAGAAAGTTATTCTCTCAGAGCCCTGAAGACCAGAAGTCCAAATCGGTTTCACTGGGCTGAAATCAGGAAGCCCGCAGAGCCATGCTTCCTCCAGAGGCTCCAGGGGAGAATCTGTTCCATGCATCCCTCCAATCTTCACTTTTGAATAACAATATTCATAACAAATCTGCTAAATTATTTTGTTTCTGCTTGACATTTCCTTAGGTTATAAAAATAATAGAATACTTTGGCTTTGTCCTAGGAATCTTTTGGATCCCCTTAAGACAGAGGCTGTGTGGCCTTCTTAAAAAGGTACCATCTTGCAAAGTAAATGCTCTTCGTCTGAAAAAATTTCCCTTCCCTAGGTTCTAACTAGGGAATACAGCTTCTAACACTATTGCGCAATTCCTATTTTTAAAAAACTCAACTGCAAGATACAATGCTTGTGAAAATTGCCTGAAAATCATCTGTTTTTCAGCATAGCTTATATTTAATCTTAAGACCAAGACACTTCATTGGGGGACATGTACTTAGGACCTACTGTTTTGGTATGAGGCCAGAGGCGTGAAGAACATAAGGACATACCCCTGCAGACATCCTGGAGAACCTGTGGTGTGACATGAGGGAAGGGGCTGTGTGGTCAGCCCATCACTATGCCCGTCACGAAGATCTACAGGTGGGTGTTTCTCTCTGGACTTGGTTTACTTCCTTTCTAGCACTGTTTACAGCCCGTGGGGTGACCTTTCTTGTGTTGGCCCTCCTCTAACTTCAAGTTTTCCTTTCTCTTTCCTTTTTTTTCCCCTCACTTATAATACAAGAATAATAATAAATAATTCCAACAAATAAATATTTCAGAATATAGCTTCAAATGTTTTTTCTGGGGGTAAAAAGTTTTAAACAATAAATATTATTTTTTTAAAAACAGATTATGGACATAGGTTCTGATCTATACATTTTTGAAGGAAAAATAAAGTGACCTCGCGCTTCCATGTAGCACAGTATTTGAAGCTAGGACGTGAGCTGAGACTGGCCCTCCTCTGCCTGGGACATGCCTTAGGGGAGCCTCCACTCTTCCAGCGCAGTCAGTTGCATCATTTGAAACTACCAGCTATAAAACCACCCGGAAAGACTGAATTATGCTGCTGACTCAGTCAATAATTTGGCTCCCTGCTGTTTCAGAAGCAGGAGTTGTCTACGTAGTCACTTCTTTCTCCTTCATTTACCCTGCTATAGATACTGGGTGCTCCTTGAGGGAAGCAGCATAATTTCTCCAACTAAGCAAAAACCAAAATATACCCCATGGATTGTTCCAGCACCTTTCTGTCCCCCTGACCTATTTGCCCCAGGATAACCGAACCTTTCTTTACCATTCACTCTGATTACATAAAAATCCTTCTCTAAAGCTCTTTGTTTGTTCTTTATCCCAACAGTCACCTGTTTATAGGCATTTCACATCTGCATATATGGCATTTAGTGCCGAGGAAGGAGAGACGACCAAACCAGGCGACAGAAAAAGAAGATTCCTGCTGCACGTCTATCAAGAAATGAAAATTTCCTAAAAATAGTAGATGGCTTCCTTTGATAAAGTCAAGCAAGACAGACTCAGAAATCATTCCATGGGGATAATTTAATGAGCAATGACTTTGCTGCAATGGTCTTTGGAGTTGCTCCATTTTTCCTGGCAGGTAATGAGGGTCGGCCAAGCCTTGGCTCTGCGTGCAGAAGCCTTCGTGCTTGCTGGTACATTCCCAAAAAATGTGTGGGAAGCACATTCTAGAAACCATGCCAGTTTCTAACTTGGGTTTTTCTTTTTTAAAATTGTTGTTGCTTATTTACTTATAGTCCCAATGTCCCTTTTTTTGCAGCCAAAGTCTACAGATAAAAAGAGGATATTACAGAAAAACTAAATGCTGATTACAAAGCAAAACATAAAAAGCCACCCTGAAAACTGGAGGTGCCTGAGGTTAACCCCAAGCGAGAAGAATGTTAAACCTACTGCCTTTTTACCCAACAGTAACTGTCCTGAGAGTACTGGATTTACCTATATTTTCATTTGGATTGAGGTGCTATAAAATTAAAATCTCCATTTATATGGTACTTGACAGTATTTGCTGCTTTCCCCCCCAATCTCATTTGCTCTTTACGAAACCCTTAACAGAAAGTACCATCATTATTCTCATTTTTTTAAATAAGAAAACTGAGGCTCAGAACGGCCAAATGATTTGCCCAAAGCCATAGGACTAGAATGTGATGGGAGCAGGCTGACCCCAAGGTCCGCCGGCCTGGAGGTGAGTTCTGTTTCCACTTGGCCATTGCAGCTGCCCTTTTTCTTATCATCTGATTCATTTCACGTGGGAAGCTGACATCCCTGGGGGAAATCCCACTCTATTCCAAGGTCGTTTCTCTTAACATTTCTTTTTAACAAATCAAGAGTAATGCCTGAGTTTATTTAGCTAAACCATTGCACGTTTCTGCACAAAACAAAAACATCAACCTACCCTTTTACGGAGTTTTTCTGCAGCATCAAGTTCAGCTTTAATAGTCTTATCAAATTTATTTAATAGTTTAGGCTTCTTTTTCTTAACTGAAAGAAAACAGAGGTTTTTATTTATTTATTTATTTTTGTCTCGAAATCGTTGTTAAGAATCGTGATTTACAACTAGTGAGAAAGCATGTGTTGGTCCCAGTCCTACAAGTGCAAGAGCAAGCTCACTGCTGGTTCACCTTCCCGCCCCCAGGACGACACAGCCTTTCCTCGTGTGCTCAAAGGAGTTGCTAGGGGACTGCGTGAAGACTAGTATACCAGTTTCTGGAATGAAAATGGTAGGTATGATTTCTAAACTCTTATGAAAAATTTGTTGGCAAAGTCCAAAAGACTGCTTACAACAGTTTTTGAATATATCTATAATGTTTCTGGTCAGGTAAATATGAAAGAGCAAGCTATTTATTCTCAATGGAGTTAAGTTAACAGAATCTTAGTCTAGCACTCAAGCCCTCCCATTGCACCACGGACCCGTCGCTCTGGCTGCAGTCCATACTTCTGCCAAAGTGGACTGTCCCATGTTCCCCAAATAAGCTTTGTGCCATTTCTGATGCTACTTTCCCCAAACTAAATGGCCCATTCCTTAAGGCTGTCAGATGAAAATATGCCCTCCTTCAACAACTACCACCTTGCCCGGCCAGGCGTGGCTCAGCGGCTGAGCGTCGGCCTAGGATCCAGGCGATCGGGGTTCAATTCCCAGTCAGGGCACATGCCCGGGCTGCGGGCTCGATCCCCAGTCGGGGGCATGCAGGAAGCAGCCGATCAATGACTCTCATCACTGATGTTTCTCTTTCTCTCTCTCCCTCTCCCTTCCTCTCTCTGAAATCAAAAAAGATATATTAAAAAAACACCCAAAAAACAAAAAACCCACCACCTCCTTATAAAGTTTCTCCACCTATCACTCAATCAAATGGTGTCTCTCTCTCTCTGTGTCTCTGTCTCTTCCCCTCTCCATGCCCCCCAAAACTGAGTCCACAGTACCCTCCTTTCTGGCATATGGCTTTTATTATAACCATTTGTGCACTGATCTTTGTGCCTTTCCAAACCATAAGCTCCTGCAGAGTGGCTCCACGTCTTGGAGCAAACTGAACTTGCTCATGCTTGCGTGGCTGGGCGCCACCCCTTTTCTTCCTCCCCGGAGCAAACACAAAGTCTGAGCATCCTGCAGGGAGGGGCGGCCCCACAGGGGAAGTGGGGCTATTCCATGCTGCTTGGAGGAGGCAGGCATGCCTAATTCTGGGGGTCAGTATGAAGAAACCCATTATCCCTGCTCATCTCAGCCCCATCCTTTAAATCAGCTCTCTGCAGTAATAAAACTGACACTTGGATCACTGTCCCTTTATTTCTTGTAAATTTCTGAAGTTGCTTTGCTGTTTTGTTTATCCCACCTTCCTCTTCTCCCTTTCCTGAACTCTCAGGCCCTCTAGGATTTAAAAATATAAATGCCTAAAGCAGAGGGTGAAAAAATAGTGGATACTGGGCATTTTCAACTGCATGCCATCATATGTTAGCATACATGCCGAGGATATGGAAAATGAAGTGACTTTTGACTGAGATGTGGATTTACAGGGGTGAGAATTATCACCTCAGCCCTGGCTCATGTTTCTGAATTGCTCATTTTGGTTTTGCAGGAGTGTTTGTCAGAAAAGTGCCAGCAGGATCTGGGAAGTCTGAGTGCATCGGAGTAGAGGGTTTTACTGTTAGCATCACAAGTTTTCCCAAATGCATTTCCCATGTTACATAGTTAAAATTAACATGAGATTTATTTATAAGGAGAAAAAAAAACTGTTGACAGTTCAGGACATCCAAAATAGTCAACATTAAAATAATATGCCTGCTAAACAGCCAGACTGGATCTTAGTGTCAAAATATTTCAATGCCATCACAAAAACAGATAAAATATTAAAAATCTCAAAGCACCTGTTACCAAGAAATTACTCTGTCCCATCTTTTCACACATCTTCCTATATAATAGCTCCTCACGATGGCTCCTTTCTCTAAAATTCAAGTTTTGTCCTATGATTATTTTCATTTTAAAATGTATAAAAAGCCTAAGGCAATTTCTCCAATTATAAAAACACACAGATCTCTTCCTTTTAGTTCTGGGGAGGCACATGGTCCTGCTGCCTGAAGGACAATAGGCTCTGATGGTTGTGATGGGACCGGGGAGGACTCTCTCAAGTTAGGCCTCACTTTTCTCATGTACAAATGAGTGACCAGGCCGGTTCTCTTAAGGTCTCTTTGAACTGGGAAACCCTGTGCTTCTAATTTTCAGTTAATTTAAACCATGTTAATAATCTTTCAAAGCAGACCTACAGGGCACTGGAATGAGTTGTTAATTTTGTTGAATGTGGATCTTTAAAAACTGTCTACGCTATATTAAACTCCGTCTTTTTTTAATCACTGTGATTACAAGTGTTTTATCATTTTCCAAAACCACAAAGGGGGGAAAAGTGGCCAGCTGCATTTGAAACCCTGACCTCCCGTGCCACGCCATGGCCAAAACATTAAGAGAAAATAAAAAGGCAGAGAAGAAATAAGAGTAATTAAAGGCATGAGAAAAGCACTAATGATACGTCCTTAGATTATACAGAAATTAATGATTCCTTTTCATTTCCACTTAGTCCAGGAAGAAGACTTTTATATCATGATGCATGGGGAGAACAGGTCCACCGATAAAAACAGACTCTGCATTACTATGTCCTAGACCCGTTCCCTTGAAGAGAGTGACAAAAGTGGCAGTGTCTGCCGCAGGTGGACAGAAGAGCAACGATTCCCCAACTGATCTCCCTGCTTCCCACCTGCTCCCATGCTCCACACTGTCCTGAGGATCTTTCTGAAACAATTTCTCCATTTATCCCCAATGCTTTAAATACACCCATGGACCCCCGGAACATACCAAAGAAAAACCAAATTTCTTAGAACGGCATCCGAGCAATCCTGCTCCCAGTTACCCACCCGAGAGAAATGAAAACACGTGTCCACACAGTCTCCTACGCGCATGTTCACCACAGCGCTGTTCCTAACAGCCAAAAGTAGAAAAAGCCCAAACGTCCGTCAGTGGTGAATGCACAGGCAATGCGTGGTAGAGCGGTCCCACGGAATATTCAGCCGTAACCCGCAAACCTGCAACAACACGGCTGCACCTCAGACCATCATGTTAGGTGAACGGCGCCAAATGGAAAAGGCTACTGACTGGATGATGCCCTTAATACAACATTTTGGAAAAGGAAAAACAGTAGGGAAAGAAAACAGATATGTAGTTTCAGGGGCTGGGGGTGGGGGGTGGGGAAAGGGGTTGAGTACAAAAGGCACAAGAGAATTTGGGTTATGAAGTTCTGCATCTTAACTGTGGTGGAGAAACTATATCTAGATGTCTATGTGCGAGTCAAATCTCAGCCCTGAGCGCCTGGACACATAGTTTGGACTTACTGTATGAAAGCACACCTCCAGAATGACTTAACAAAGCTGCTGGAAGAAGACACAAGCCACGTGATTCTCAATAAGGACTCTTATTATAGGTATAACAGTATGAAAAGCATTTGGACATCATGGCAGACCTTTAAAAATAAAAAATTCAATCTGGTTTTTAGCACCCTCCCCCGACCATGTACCTATTTGGGGTCCTTCAAACTCAATCAGGCTTAAGAGGCTCCACGCTGCACAAAAAGAAAAAGAAAAATTGCTCTTCTAGACTTAACTAGGCCTCAGTGGCATCTATACGTTTTTCTTATGTAATATCTTTGCTACGTTTCCTACTCCCGATCGTCCCTCCTCCTTTTATTCATTCAACCCTCCAAGCATCCTTTTTTTTAAAAAATTTTTTGACTACTCTTGAACTGCGTCGAAATACGCCTGTTCCTCAGTGTGTCACTGTACCCAGTGGACAGCGCCCCAGCCTCGGTCACGGGCCCCTTCATTCACTCGCTCAGCTGTCTGCTCAAACACCACTGTGTGCCAAGGACTGTGCTAGCTGCTGGGAGTTCAGCGGGCCTTCCTCAAGGAGGCTGCAGTCTTGCTGGGGAGAAAGCTGTAAATGGGTAGCTCACCATTACAGGAATGTGTATACAGGGTGGACCAGGAGTGGTGCTACTCTGT